GTCCGGGATTTGAACCCGGGACCTCTCGCACCCTAAGCGAGAATCATACCCCTAGACCAACGAGCCACTGGTGGGTCTTAGTGGCCAGAGGTGCCTTCTCTGCCACATCAGCAGCAGCAGCAGCAGCAGCAGTATTTGTGGTTCCTAGAGGCTGCCTCTCCCCTCCTTCCTCAGGGCTGGCTCCCAGCCCAGGCGGGCTGCACTCCAGCAGGGCTGCCCCTCAGCTCCCTTTGCTCCTCCCTCAGTGCCTGCCCTCTGCAGAGCCACACAAACACTTCTCTGCCCAGGCCGCGGGCAAGGCCCATCCTTCCTCTGGCCAGCCAGTTCTCCCCCAGAGATGCCTCGCAGGCTACGAGTGGGGATCAGGGACGGGCTGCAAGCAGTGGGCTGTGCAGGAACAGGGCCCAGCACCCAGCCCTTTCCAGGATAAGCCCAGGGCCCAGGGAGCCTGTGTGGGACCCCCTGCACCGAGTTCCTACCTCATGAAGCAGTCCTCCAAACCCTGGGTGAATGTCTCCTGATGCCGAGAGAGTTTCGAAATGACTCTTTCTTCATGGATGGGGTAAGGCCGGGGAGACCTGGCCTAGCCTCCTTCTAGAGCAGCGGTGAGGAATGGTGAGGCGGGCAGAGAAGCCCTGGGCCAACCGGGAGGGGTGGACAGAGGCAGCAGGCCATCACGAAAGCAGTGGGCAGAGGAAAATGGCCATGGGTGTCTTCCAGAAGACACCTCCTGTGGGCCAGCTGGGTGCTTTCCATATGGAATTTCACCCTGAAGACCCTCTGGGAGGTGGCACTGGCCCCACTGTCCTATAAAGGCCCTTCCCCGATGGCAGGGCAGCTGTCCTGGAGAATGCACTGAACCAGCGAAGGATGGCAGGGTCGGGGGAAGGGAGGCCCTTCATCCTGGGAGTTTCCCACATGAGAGGGAGCATGGCAAGCCACACCTCAGAAGCACCATATGGTGCTTTCAGTATACAGGCACCCCTTCCACCACTCCGCCCTCTCTTGGTTGCCCAGTGGGCTGTCATCCGGGAACTCTACCGAATGATTGCTATTAGCTGCCTCTGGGTCTGCCCCTGGCTCAGGACAACCCTGTGCCCCCAGGAAACAAAACGCTGCCTGGTCCCTTGCCAGCCTTCGATTAGATCCTGGGAAGCCATAGGGTCTGCACCAGCTGACTCCAGAAAACGAGATCCAGGTCATTCTTAGTCCATCCGCGTCTGGAAGCTCAGCTCTACGGAAACCTACTGAGCACCATTGCAACGTGCATGCCCCCTGACGG